ACATAGTCACCTTGGGTAGACACTACCATCTACTTATTGTCTTACCTAGGAATGTAGATCAGGCAAGTTCATTAATAGGTGGACCATTGGCTCATTACTTGTATATGGTGCAGTCCTTGGTATTTGGGCATTCTTTGACTTTTTTTTTGGGGGGGGGAGGGTTTTGAGACAGGGTTTCTCTGTGTAACAGTCCTAGTTGTTCTGGAACTAGCTCTTGTAGACCAGACTGGCCTCTACCTCCCTAGTGCTGGGATTAAAGGTATGTGCTACAACCCAGACAATTTGTGACATTTTAGAATATAAAAGAACAGCTGGAAGGTCATCTATCCACTAACATCCACTAACGTCACCTCTACCATCTCAGTGACAGGTCATTTAAGTCAAGCACTTAATGCAGAAGTCTAATGAGATCTATTTTGGGAGACATGAGAGAAGCCATGCTTTTATAGTCAAGAGCTCTTAGGTAGAGAAGTATATGCCCTTGAGATAGGCCTTGAGAGGCGGGATGGCCTAAATGAGGTATGAAATGTCACCTGATCTTAAGGGAGACTAATCAATGTGCACCTCATTAAGATGCATATGTCAGGCTTTTTGAGTTTTGCCCCCAGAGCAGTTAGTTGAACCATTCTTCCTCTAACAAAATGGAGCGTTTTCCATCTACTTCACAAAGGCAAGTGAGCTTCCTCAGAAGTACAGCACAATTCATTTCCTCCTCCAGACTGTGCCCAGAGTTTATTATGGAAGGGACTGATGAAAACAGGCACTTAAGAAAGGCCTAGGGTTTACAGCCTACCTTCTTGCCAAGTTGCTGTTCATAAACTGAAAACTGTGAGAAAGGCTGGAGAAATGGCTCAGCGGTTAAGATCACTGGCTGCTCTTCCAGAGGACCCGTATTCATCCCAACACCCACATCACTGCTAACAACTGCCTAAATTCCAGTCCCATAGGATCTGACATCCTTTTCTGACCTGCATGTGCAAGTCACGCACATTGTGTATAGGCGTACACACAGACAAAATACCCCCCACACAGATTTTTATTGCCTACATAGTTTTGAAGTCCCTGATGAAACTTGGCAGTCTACAAAGATGGTAAAATCGATCTTTTATCATATAACTTAAGCAGTTTCTCAGATACATTCTTATCAACATCCTTTCTTCAGATAGTATCTCATGGCATAACCCAGGCTGGAATCACTTTCATGGTCTTCTGCCTCCCATCTGTAGGGATACAGGTGTATGATAGCATTCTCATACACCTATGAGCTTTTAGCTGGTACCCAATACATATAACTGTTTTTTTAAACAGGGTAGTCTGTAGCCCTGGCTATCCTGGAACTCTTTACATATACCAGATTGGCTTCAAACCACCTACCTTTGCCTCCCAAGTGCTAGGACCATAGACATGTACCACAACATACATAGCTCTTAGATGAGAGCCTTGAACAGCATCTTATAGCTTAGGATGTTCAGGTAAGTGGTTACTACACATATTAGCTGTACAGATATGGAGTTAGGCTCACCATGGAGACTATGTAGTAAGAAGTATGTAACACACACACATATATGTGTGTATAGACAGACAGACATACAGATAAAAACTCATTAGTCGGGGGCAAGAGATGGCTCAGCAGTTAAGAGCACTGGCTGCTCTTCCGAAGGGCCAGGGTTCTCGTAGCACCCACATGGCTGCTCACAACCGTTTACAGTTCCAGGAAATCTGATACCTCACAAAAACATGAAGGCAAGACACCAACGCACATAAAGCTACTTTTAAAAATCTAATTAATGGGGGAAGACTTCCATTACTACTAATAGCTGCAACAGTGGGTACCTCTCCCCACCTCTTGAAAAATAATCTGTGCAACTCAGTCTGAGCCTTCCAAGTAATGGTATTTACAGCTCTGTGCTAACATATCAGGCAAGTAAACTCTTAACCAAAGAGAAACAAAGACATTTCTTCTCTGGGTCTTGGTGTTTTCTAATTTAGCAACAGAAATTTCTCCTGGTTTTCCATCAGAGGACACTAATGAGAAACAACATAACTGCTTAATAGTTTTTTTAAGCCTTTCATTCCCAAGTTAGTCATTTTTCTGTGTGTGTCCTTGACAATGTAGGGTAATACGTCTGTTCAGTATAGTAGACAATTTCACTTTATTAGAACCCTCCAATTTAAGCTGACCTGATATACCTTTGCACGCTAAAAAAACCACTGAGCTTTACCAGCCCTTCTTTTAATTTGAGCAGAATTTTCTTAAAAACAGGAGAGTCTCATGTAACCCAGGCTGGCCTTAGAACCTCCAAAGTACTGAGATTGTAGATGTGTGCCACCGTACCTGGCTGAGAAAGGGTCTCCTGCCTCTACTTGAGTAGCAAGCTGGAATTATAGGTGCTTACTACCATACTCAACCTGTTCTTCCCTCCCTTCTAGCACCCACAATCCCCTACACACCTGGAATTTCTTTGATGCAGTAGCTCAGAGTAGACTGTGCACCTTTTCTAGCCAGAAAAGTGAAACTCAGACCATGGTGACAGCTGTGAAGTTGTGTGGATCACAGTTCTGACACTTAGTCCCTGAGCACTAATGCTAGTGAGTACTCATGGAGCCCAGACGGCTTGACTTCTAGGCTGTTCATTTCTCCATCAAATCATCTTAGACTCAAGTCTAATTTCAAAAAAGGTTACTAACCTCACCCTATTTATTTTCCTAGTTTAAAGTTGTGGTGTTGCCAGCTGTCTCTGTTCTACCAGTAAACCAATATTCCAAGATTCCTGACAGGGTCAAAAAATCTGGGGGGTGGGGAATTGGTCATGGAGAAAGGCTTAAATAAAAAGCCTTTGTGGAAAGACCCACAGGGATGAAATCGCTGTGGGAGAATGCTCTTGTACACTGTAAAGATTTGTCACTCATATTGGTTTAATAAAACGCTGACTGGCCAATAACCAGGAAGGAAGTACAGGTGAGGTGACCAGATTAGGAGAATTCTGGGAAGAGGAAAAGCAGAGAGACACAGTCACTAGCCAGAGGAAGCAAGATGAGAATATCTCACTGAGAAAAGGTATCAAGCCACGTGGCTAAACATAGGTAAGAGGTTTTCTTAAGTTCTAAGACCTAGTTAGTAATAAGCCTGAGCTAAGAAGCCAAACAGTTTATAATTAATATAAGCTTCTGTGTGATTTTTGGGGGAACTGAATGGCTGTAGGTCTGGGCAGGACAAATATTTCCATCGACATGAAATAGCAGAAGCACACTGAATACTAATTCCAAATGGAAAGAAAGGAAAAACAAAACCCTAGTAATGCCTCAGCCTGCTAACCTTCAAAAGCTCACATTACTGGAGTAGGATGGTGAGGAAGAATTACACAAGGTTAGCAGGGATTTTTGCAAGTAGTATCTACTTCTAGTCCACAGGAAGGGGAAGCCTACTTACAGTCCCTTCTACTAGGAAGCAGCAGCAGACTAAAGTTTCAGTTAGCTATATACGAAGTTGTCCCAGAAAGCTCCACTGCTATTCCATTTTTTTGAGACAGGATTTCTCTGTAGCTTTGAAGCCTATCCTGGAACTTGGCTTTGTAGACCAGGCTGCCTCGAACTCAGAGATTCACCTGCCTCTGTCTCCTGAGTGCTGGGATTAAAGGAGTGAGCTACCACATGCAGCCGTGGAAAGAAATTTCAAAAATTGTGAGCTCAAGGGCTGGGTATACCACAAATGATGCCTAGGAGCATGGGGCCCTGGGTCCAATCCCTGGAAATGAAAATTAGAAAAAGAACACCCTCAAACATGGCTCTAAAGCCTCCCATAACTCTAAACCCTTACTTACTTCCACCTCCCCCTGAGGAAAGATGTCCTTTTTCTGTCTAATGCTAAAAGACCCATAAATCAGAAGGTCAAAGTCACCAGGACTTTAGATATTAACTTCTCCTAAATGGAGAATGCATTCTTTATTTTCAGAAATTAATGTTCTCTGTGTGTATCTCCTCCGCTCAGAGTAGGAGTTCTGGAGACCAAACCATAACCCTCTGAAAAAGCAGCAAGCTCTTTTAAGATCTGAGCTGCCTTTCCAACCTTGAAATAAGACATTCAAATGTGGGACTGAATACAGAGAACATATCACACCTCAGAGGCCACCCAGCAACCCATCACCTGACTTTACTCACCACTTACTACTCAACACATGACAGGCTCTCAGTGCACACCATTCTCATCTGCACTCAAAAAATCAGTGTCCTACAGATTTAAATTCAGGGAAACAAACTTCTACTAACTGTTTTGTTTTTCTTTCTGTGCTGTTTTTACTTTTTGAAGCACTATGGATAAAACATATAGCCTAATCAATTCTTCTCAACAAGCTACCAGTAAGGCTTGTATCCAAGTGGGAGACATTCTAGCATGTACAATGCTCTAAGGAAAGGAAGAATCAAGAGAAATGGAAGAGAAAGAAAGCCAGAGAGGAAGCATATAGCAACTGTAAATGGAGCTTTTTTTCCAATTTATGTTTTAGAAAATAAGAGGATAAACCTCTAATGCTAATTTTTCAAATTATGTTGCCTTGCAAAATTATTTCTCAAACTAATACAGGTTAAAAGGAAATCACTGATAATATAAAGTCAAAATGACTTTGAATGTCCGAGTGGTAGACAGAATGCTTAGAGAGTGGGCTAACTGGAAATCAGAACCCCACTCTTACAACTCGAACACCAGCAAAAGCACTCACAGGCACATGAGTAGCTTTTCTAGTGTTCAAATGTCCACTTTATTCCACATGACACCTAACCAGATTATCACTCACATCTGAGGAGGAGATGACCCAAGAGATGACCTGGAGAAATACAGTCCAATTTTACAGTGTCAGGCACCCCACAAGTGTAGCACAATACAGAAATACATGTTTATACTAACTACATTTTACATAAAGAGAAATAGTAATAAACTTCAAAAGGTAATAAATGCATTTGTTCCTTAAAGTATAGGTATGCAACTGTTACAAAGCCATAATAAATGGTTTTATAAAATGTAGTTTTATTTTATGTTACTCTGCTGTTACATAGGGCATAACATTTCACAAAAAGGCTTTTTTGGGACTACAGTCAATGATTAGCAAACACAATATTGTGGGTCTGTCTCTCTAAAGAACAATCACTGGACAAACTGGACATCCTCTCACATGTGCACAGATCTGCATGGAAAAGTACTGACTTGGACTTGTGTACTTTATTTCCCCTTTCTAGTATATTAAGAAAGGACATGCATTTTAATTTGCCCAAAGCAATGCTTGTATTTTGGCAGCAACATGCTACTTTTATTACAAGGTAAAGTGAATACCAGAGCTACGAAGGCAGGAGGTGTAAGTGAATTTTTATTGGGAAGGAAGTTGTCAACTCAAACAGCAGCAAATGAAGAATGCATAAAGGAAACTCCCTGTTGTCACAGACAGATGTAACCTCCAGAATATGTGACATAGGAGACATTTCAATCTGTGACCCCCCCAAGACTGGATGCATTAAGAGCTTTCCCATCCAATCCAACACTTCTGGATTTCTACTAAAAAAGGAATATGCAGTAAGATTATGGAAAAGTTGCTTCTGAAAGGATTAACCCCCAAAGAAGGGTCAGAGAGGGAATGTAGAAATCGGGGTGTTATTATCACAATTACTGTAAATTGTAATGCACTACATTTCCATATCTTCACAGTAATACAAAACACAGCCCCCTGCAGAACTGGTTCAGATTACTTAAATACCCAATGTACTGTCAGTCCTCTACACAAGTGTCTGGAAGTTACTCGTGTTTATATGAAATGAAGCTATTGATACTTTTCTACAGCAGTAACTGCACACCAGGAAGGCCGAGACAACACAAATCAGGGGATGGAGTTTTCCCAAAGCTGCAGTGTGAAAAGACTATAAACAGTTGATCCCATACACACGAATAGGCTTCCTTGCTAGAGGAAATCCAAGTGAAATAAGGAATGGAGATGTAAAAAGGTTTTCTTGAGGGAACGAAGGACAGCACCCTGGATGCCTTTAGTTTTCGGCCCCCTCCGCTGCATCACATTCTTCTCCTGCACTGTCCGATGTCCATAACTACAGAAGAAGAAGAAAAAAGAAACACAGTAAAATATTACTTCCATCTAGATATTCTTTAAGACCCTTGAGAGAAGTCAACCCTTTAAGCAATAGAGGATGATTATGACAATCTTTCCTCAAAACTGAACACCATCCATCACCCCTTCAAAACACAGCCTAATAAGACATTTACAAAACTGCATACATACATATGTGTACTGTGGGCAGCACCACCATCTATCTACATGTTCCTCCTTGGGTTCCTGCTCTGACTTCCCTCAAGGATGGACTATGACATGAAGTGAGAACCAAGTATACACCCTTCTCCTCCCCAAGCTGCTTTGGTCATGAGCTTTATACAGCAGAGAGCAAACAGAGACAGTGCTCAACACCACACTAGTAGTTAAGGAATAGAATTGCAATTACAGAATACACACAGGAGATGCTGAGAATCTCATATTCTCCATTCTCAGTAGTAAAAGGCTTTCCTTGAAAACAATATTTAAATAGAATTTATAACCAGGTGTTGGTGGCACACATCTTTATTCCCAGAGCTCAAGAGGCAGAGAAAGGTGGATCTCCATCTGAGTTCAAGGCCAGCCTGATCTACAAAGTGAGTTCCAGGACAGTCAAAGCTATATAGATATGAGGCTAATAAAGCAGAAAGCATACAAGGAGAAAATCATGGTTTTGTTGTTTCAAGTACATGAAGGACTAACAGAAAAAGCAGCAAATATACTTTGCACTGACAGAAATTCAAACAGGACTGAGTGATGAAGCTACAGAGACATAGCATGCATACATGTGTACTCTAAGATCGCTCTAATTAAGAATTAGAGAATTAGTCAATACTAACTGCAATCACATCAGATCAACACCAGGATGCTACTTGCAACTTTAGAAAAATGAGGCTCTTAGATTACCTTAAATTACTATTAAGATACTATGATAGACAAAATCGCCTGAAGAATTACTCCTTAAAGAGAGGATGGAACCAAACCAGTTAAAAGTCCTGAATCCATGGAAGGAATATATAATCAGCCCACAGAAGTAGATGTGTGTGGATCACTCCTCTGTCCGGCAGGGCTGCAGGCTTTGCTAACAACTAAGAATGTCCAGTGCTTTCCTAATTCCCTTCTCAGTGGACACATCATCTGTCCAGGAGAACTGAACAGATGTGGAGCTTTATAAAACACTCTTAACAATAATCCTCCCTAGTAAAAGCTGCAGCACCACAACCGGGGGCTAGGAAAACTGCATTCACACTAAAAGGCATCATTCCCTCTCTTCCCTTCTTGTAAGTCTAAGATATTACTCCATCAAATTTACTTGAAAATACAAAACAATTAATTTAAGTTCAAATACCTTTACCTTTTTCAGTTATTCTGCTATAATTTGGGTCTAAAATGTACCCAAAGGCCCATATAGTCACTGTGGCTTGAAAGAGAGTAGTAGAGTTTCTTAGAAGAGGTATCAAGCTAGAGAAAGTTGGGGTCATTGTGGGAGTGCCCTTGAAGAGGACACTATGATACAGGTCTCTTTCCTGTAGCTGCCAAGAGACATGCAGGCTTTCACCATACATGTCCCCACAACACGGCCAAGCTACTGTGGACTCAAACCTTTAAACTCAAGATCTCATTGTAGATGGTTGTGAGCCACCATGTGGTTGCTGGGAATTGAACTGAGGACCTCTGGAAGAGCAGCCAGTGCTCTTAACCACTGAGTCATCTCTTCATCCCCCACCCCCAATGTTTCCTTCTTTTAAAGTTGTTTAATCCCAGGCACTTTGTCATTGAGGGAATAATAACCTCCATCAGATTGGCTTGTAGGTATGTCTGTAGGCATATCTTTTTTGAGACAGGGATTCTCTGTGTAGCCCTGGCTGTCCTGGACCTCATTCTGTAGACCAGGGTGGCCTTGAACTCAGAGATCTGCCTGCCTCTGTATCCCAAGTGCTGAGGTTAAAGGTGTGCACCATCACCACCTGACTTGGGGACATCTTCTTGATTAATGATTGAGAGGGCCTCGTCCTGCTACGGGAAACACCACCCCTGAGAATGTGTTTCTGGTTTATAAAAGAAAGCATGCTGAGCAAGCCCTGGAGAACAAATCAGCAAACAGTTTTCCTCCATGGCCTCTGCTTCAGCTTCTGGCTCCAGATTCCTGTCTTGATCTCCTGCCCTGACTGCCCTCTAAGACAGACTATAAACTCTAAGCTGAGACAAATCCTTTCCTTCCCAAATGCTTTTGGTCATGGTGTTTTATCACTGCAATAGAACGCAAACTAGGAGACCCACTATCAAATATTCAAATACACATAACTCACAAAGCAACCTTTAAAAATTTTTTAAAACCTTTATAGGTCTAGGTGTCCTGCCTGCACACCATGTGTGTATAGTGCCCATGGAGACCAGAGAGGGCCTTGGGTTCTTTAGAACTGGAGTTAGTCCATTGTGAACCACTATGTGTATATTGAGACTTGAACCCAGGGCCTTTGGAAGAGCAAGCAGTGTTCTTCCCTCTAGCCTTACCAAGCAAACTTTGATTAGAACAAGCTGCTTCATGTGATTTTAGGAGGTTGCAACACCTATAGAAACTCTATATTTGCTGTACCTAATTTACCCAGAGAAAGGAAATACTAAAATTATACAAGCTCTCTAAATTAACTCTTATCAACATGTTCAACCAAGTCAAAGAATAATAACACTGTGTTCCTACAAGCACAGTACCTTTTCCAGGAAGGTCTGATAAAATACCTTGTCACCATGGAGATCTTTCTCCAAGCTTTAAAAACACTCTACTTCTTCTGTAACTGCCCCCCCCCAAGACAGGAAGATCAAAATAAAGATATGCGTTTCTGGAAATACTCACTGTTAAGTTGTCTCTAAGCAACTGCATGATGAGGGTGCTGTCTTTGTAGGAGTCTTCATTCAGTGTATCAAGCTCTGCGATGGCCTCATCAAAAGCCTGGTAAAGTTAATATTCACAGTGAGCAATACCTTCAGTGACAGAAGCTGGTCATTCTGCAAATACAACTGTGTGCACAGTCACACTGTGGTATAGGTAACACTAACTAAGAAGTACTGCCTTAGAGTCCTGGTTTAAGATTTTTGTGAGGGTTCCTCACTTAAATTTCCTCCAATCTGAGGGAGTTCTTTCCTTACTAAAATCTATACTTGCTCTTTTTTTAAAAAAGAAAGAAAAAAGAATCTGTATAACCTGAAACCTGCTGTAAATACTTATAGAAACATGTATCTTGGTTCTTTCATAAGACACACAGTATATTAGCAACATTTGACACAATTCTTACAAGAGCTAGCATAACCCTGAGACATTTGGGGGGAATACAGATTTCTAGTGCTGGTAGCACTCCTTTCCAGAGTGTGATGCTTCCTCCTAAAGTTACACTTCTTTGACCACTTTGCTCCCATGCTCTTCAGTCAGACACTATTACTAAGAACCACAGTGAGAGCACGGTGTTTAAAGGGGGAGGAAGTAGGCAAGATGGTAATAAACAACAACAACAACAAAAACCATTGCAAAAGAAATAGCCTCCTGAGCATCCAAATACTTAAAACCCTCAGCCAAAGAGGTATAGTCCCCACAGACCTTACCGTTTTAGCCAATGTGCAGGCAAGCTCTGGATTATTAAGGATCTCATAGTAAAATACAGAAAAATTAAGGGCCAGACCCAGGCGGATTGGATGTGTAGGCTGCATCTCTTTCTTGCTTATATCAAATGCCTCTTGGTAGGCTCCTTGGGAATTATCTATCGTCTCTGTGAGTTGAAGAAAAGGAAATTAAGACACAACAGCAAAAATATCTATCCAATATATAGCATGCTGACAACTTTAACGTATATAGCAGCTGACATTCTGAGTCATCATAGCTCCAGTATATTTAAATAAAACCCATCAGGACCAGCAGGATAGTCAGTGGGTAAAGGTGCTTGCCACCAAGCTTGACAAGAGTTTGATTCCGGGAACCCATATGGCAGAAGATGTCCTCTGATCTCCATATGTGTGCATTCAGGTACACATATGTGTACCAGGTGTGCACACACCCGCATGCGCACACACACACTCATACACACACACTACAAAAAAAAAATCAATTAAGCAACAATGCTGTGGCCCCTTAAGAGTGCAGTGTGTAAAGGTGAGCCTGGTGTAACAGGCCTGTACTCCTAGCTACTTGAGAGGGTAAAACAAGAGATCGAAGTTTCATGGCCTTCCTGAACTACACAGTGAGTTCAAGGCCAGCCTAGCAACTTAATGAAACTCTGCTTCAAAATTTCAAGTGAGATTAGGAACACAGCTCAGTGGCAGGGCACTTGCCTAGCTAGCATGTGTGAAGCCCTAAGTTAAATTCCCAGCAAAATAACTATTATCAAAATTTAAAAAATAACTGGGGATATAGTTACTTTCAGCAATAGAGCCTTTGCCTATCATATATGAAGCCATGGGTTTAAAACCCAGTAAAAACAGCAACACACTCACACATAATAAATATACAAATCCTGTCTCTATGTTCTATATAAACTTTATGAGAAATATAGAACAATTGATTTAGGTATATATAAAGAATTATGGAGCTAAAAGTACGACAAGCAGAATTCCAAAGCATAAAAGGTTAACTTGCTTGCAATGTCAAAGTATAATTAGAGCTCACCCATGACCCTAATTTTAATACTACCTCTTTTTTTTTTTGAGGCAGGGTCTCATTATGTAGTCCAGGTTGACCTAAAGAACAATCCTCCCGCTCCAGCCTTTTGGTGTATCTTCATTTTGGGGAACATAAAGCAACATTCAATTTTCTTGACTTTCTTGAGACAGCATCTCTCTGAACAGTCTTGGCTGTCCTGGAACTCACTCTGCAGACCAAGCTGGCCTTGAACTCAGAGATCTACCTGCCTTTGCCTCCTTAGTGCTGCGACTAAGGATGTGCGCCACCACACCCAGCATTAATTTTTTAAATACTGTTTATATATTCTTTGAAAGGGCTAGAGAAATGACTCAGTGGCTAAGAGCACTGGTAGTTCTTCCAAAAGACCCAGGTTCAATTCCCATCCCACACTGTAGCTCAACTACCTATAAACTCTAGTTCTGCGGCACTCACAGGTACAGACACACATTCAGATAAAATATGCTTGCACAGAAAATAAAAATAAATCTGCAAAATGTAAATACCATGTCTATTCTCCACCCACCACACACTCTCCTAGTGCCCTCCTCATCCCCACAACTTCTTTTCCACTTTCCTTGTTATTAGTAACCCTAAGTCTAATTTGTGCTGCCATGTGGGTATGGTTGTGGGCCATCCACTGAGACAAGACCCATAATTGTTTTAGTTGCAAAGAGCCCGCAAACTCCATACAGACTAATTATCCTAAATGTCCCCACTTATCCTGTCATGGTTTGAATGTGAAATGTTCTCTAAGACACATGTGTTAAAGATAGGACTGTGAGTTTGTGTGGCTTTTAAGGACTACATCCTGAGGGTGCTGACCAAATCCATGGATCAGTCTTCTGATGGCTGGCATTACTGGAAGGTGACAGAAACTAGGAAGTATCCTGAAAAGCTGTACAGTGTCTCTAGCTCTCCTAACCCCCTTGCTTCAAGGCTGCACTGAGGTGAGCAGCTCTGTTCCATCACATCCTCAAGACTGGCCTACTCAGGGTTCACATTAATGGAATCAGTGAACCATAGACTGAAATCATTGAAGTAAAAATAAATCTCTCCTTTAAGCTGTTTGTTCTTAGATATGTGTCACAGTGACAAGTGACTACCCAATCCCACTTCTTTTTATATATTCTGCATTTATCCTGCATTTATCCACAGGCCAAATATACTTACGTTTTCGATCATCGCCACATGCTACTTCAGCAAGATACCGGAAATAATCTCCCTTCATCTTCAGATAGAAGACCTTACTCTCTGGATTAGTTGCATTGGCTATTAAATACTTATCCAACAATTCCTAAAAGAAATAAATCAAGCACTAATGAAAAGCCATTCGATCACAAGAATAACATATTCCTGACTATCATTGCAATCTAGACCTCAAGCATGTTCTTACAACTGGGTCAAGTTGTTGTACTAGCTTCCCTGGCAGGCCTTGCCCACGGTTTAGAGTGAAAAAACATAGATACGCCAAATACTGTCATTAGCAAAAGCTTGTCCTTTCAGTAAGCCATTTGCCCAATATTTACTGATACCCAGTAATGTGTCATCTACCCAACTAAATACATAAAAAAGCCTGAATAAAATTCATGCTGCCCTCACAAAGTGCTCAGTCAAAAGATTTATGAAGAGATAGCCTCTAGTTAAGAGAGGTGGCAGGTAGGGGGACATGGGAACAGGCAGGGAGATGGAGGAGAAAAGCAGGTAGGGGAGAGCCAACAAAAAACTGACAGAAACACCTGATACTTAGTAAGCTAATTTTTTCTTTAAAAAAAAAAGTTTAAAGAGACACCTTGTATGAATGGATATGACTGCCATCAGAACTAGAGTAAGACCCTATTGTTGGACAACAATACATGCGCTAGTTGCAGGATGTACTTGTTAGATGTCAATTGGGAAGAGAGAGCCTCAATTGAGAAAATGCCTCCAACAGACTGGACTGTAGGCAAGTCTGTGGGGGCAATTTTCTTGGTTAATGACAGCTCAGTAGGGGCACTGCCAACCCTATGTAGAGTAAGCCAATAAACATAGTGTTCCTCTATGATATCTGCTTCACTTCCTGCCTTCAGCTTCCCGCTCTGCTTTCTCAGTAATGGACAGTGACCTGGAAGTTGTAAGCTGAAAAAAACCCTTTCCTCCCCTCAAATGGTTTTGATCAGTGTTCTATCAAAGCAACAGAACCAAACTAGCACACAGGACAAGAGCAATCAAACTGGAGCAAAGCACGAACTGCCTTCCCTGCTTTCCAGTTCTCACAGTGCTAGGACTATAAAGGCTGCTGGAGGAGAACTGCCACCCAACAGCACTTTTAGCTTTACTCCCTGCCCACTATAGCAATGGACAGCAGGACAAGAAGTTCCCAATGGAGTTATAGTGCCAAGTCTGCTACGGGGTAATCAACATAACCAGCATTCTAAACACCTTCTGTTTAGGATCAAGTCCAGCTCCACAGGAGGGAAGTCATACCATCTGGTGCCATAAACCTGGCCCATATCTTGTACCTGGGGAAGTCATGGGTCCCAGTGGGGAGGCTACAATTGTTTTGTTAAAAGGACATGATGTGCCCGTCAAACTGTCTTCTAAATAATTACTTTTATCTCCATACAGTAGCATCACTATCATCCTTGATAGAGAATCAAAACTGGTCAAAGTGCTGAGAATAAGTGAGTTAAATGTTCATCTCTAAACAGGATATCTACACATCACTCACTCCAAGGCTCAGGGAACATGACAGAAGAGAGAGAAGACAGGAACCAGAAGATAGAGTGAAGTGTTGTGAGACACTGTCTTTTCAGGCACACAACTGTATTTGGCCCATCAGTATCTTGTGATACTTCCTTGTGATAAGGAAGGGACTCATGAGGCCTCATCCTTTTCTAAGGATTTATAAGCAAATTAACAGTAACTGGAAGAGGGGCTCATAAAGCTCCAAGTTCTCTCTAAGGATCTGTAAGTAGTTAATGGCTACTAGGGGAAATACTTTCTTCAGTGATGTAGCTACTAGTAATCTACCTAAGCTCTTGTAAGAAATCCTAGTGAAGTTTACTGGGTCATCAAAGAAGACATAAATGCTCTTGGGGGTGGGGGGGATACACCTGAAGGGATGGCTCAGTAGTTAAAAGCATGCATACTGCTCTTGTATAGGACCAGAGTTCAGTTCCCAGCACACAAGCAGTTTAGAACTGTCTGTAACTCTAGCTCCAGGGAGACCCAATGCTTCTGAACTTGAGGGACATCTTCACTCATGTACACATAACAATACACAAATAAACACAGTAAGACCCCCCCAACTCAAAAGAAAGGGAAGCGTGGGTGAAAAATGCACTAAGATAAAAAAAAAAGTGGGGTCATTTTAAGGAGGAAACACAAAAATGTATAGCTCAATTAAAATCAATAAAAAATTACAAACAATTAAAAAAAAGGAGGGAACACAAAATGTTTAAGACATCAGATATGAGGAAGAACAATACAGACAGCACAGGTAACCACTGTGGCTCAGAATGACACATTCAGGGTCATCTGAAGACAAGTGTCTGCCCAAAGAAAGAGAAGCACAGGGTCTGCAGACTAGACTTAGACATGTATATAGCAATTTGAGAACAACTTTTATGTCAACTGGATGTAAACTATTAGCTTATTAGAGTTCTGCAAGGGGGGCGGCAAACTGACACACATGCTATGTAGACAGGAGCTCATCTACGAGACCACACAACCCCCCCACTGCTAAGTCTATTTTAAAACATGGCTACATTGTTTATTTACTTACTGATCTATCATTTATTTAGAGATGGCGTTTCCTTATGTACTCTAGCCCTGTTCTAGTGCCCAAGGGATCATAGGTATTATGCCACCATACCTGACTTGGTTATGTCTTTTATATCCCTGGTTTCATATAATGACCTGAACTTAAGTGTTGGTGCTGACTAAAAACAGCCAAAGTTGAACGATAGCTCATCTCTTCAGACTACCCATTTTACTTGGTAGTAAGTAATTTAAAAATTAATTCTCATAAAAATGTTAACACATAATAGATGTTCTCTGGGAATAAAATCAGTCAAAAGAAGTCAAAGTCTAGAATAGCACCATGCTAAGAGCTCAGAAAACTGACCAGTTCATCTGCCTCAGTTCAGTTAGAGAAGCTGAGCAAAGACCAGAAGTTCATGCTTACATACTCAAAAAAATTTTTTTAAAAAAACCCATATACTATCTATTTACAAGCTATAAAGTATTAACTATGATGCAAACTGGAAAGTCTGGAAAAATGCCCCTAACAAAATGCAACCACCACATCTGTATGAGACAGCTTAATGGAAATAAACAGGAGGGAAAGCATTTAAAAATCTTAAAAAACAAACAAACAAACAAAAAGCCTTAACATGGGGCTGTAGAGATGACCCAGTGGTTGAGAGCACTGTTGCTCTTGCAGAGAACCTGGGTTCAACTCCTAGCACCCAGATGGCAGTTCATAACCTTCCAATCCAGAGGATCTGATGCTCTTTTCCAACCTCTGTGGAACCAGCCACGCATATGGCACACATATATATAAATGCAGGCAAAACCCACCCACCCGCACACACAGAAAATAAATTGTTTTTAGAAAAAGATTTATTTATTATGTACACAGTGTTCTGTCTGCAGGCCAGAAGAGGGCACCAGATCTCATTACAGATGGTTGCGAGCCACCATGTGGTTGCTGGGAATTGAACTCAGGACCTCTGGAAGAGCAGCCTGTGCTCTTAACCACTGAGCCATCTCTCCAGCCCTGTTTGTTTGTTTTTTAAAGATTTATTTTCTGGAGAGATGACTCAGAGGTTAAGATCACTGGCTGCAATCCACTTGTCTTCAGTAGTAATGTTCCATAGCACTCATCAAAATAAACTTTATCCTTACTTCCTTCAGAAGTCAGATATACCGCTCTTAACTACAGAACTTATACTTCATACAGAATACAGAGCAGGAACCTGAAGAGGAACCTTGAAAAATAAGGAAAATTTAAACAAGAAGGAAATGTTCACATATTTTCCAGTTTCCTGCCACGTCACTAAAATCCACTAATAAACAAACCACTAACAAGTTCAATCTTTAAGACACACTAGAGAATATCTTATTTCTTATTTAATAAAAAGACTATGTCAGAAGATGCAAGCATATCTAAGAGGCATAAGACAAAACAAGTGAGAGACAGACAGAATAACCATATTATTGTGGAAATATGAGCTTGAGAAACTAGATTATTAGACGAGAAATGGCTCAGAAGAGTACTGGCTACTCTCCCAGAGGATCCAAATTCAGACCCCTAATGTCCTAACTCCAGCTCCAGGGAAACCGGCCTGAGGGTACCCCTCCTGACTCCTAACACACGACCCATACACCTTGTAATAAAACAAATAAAAGAATAAAATAACGCGGCAAGGCCAGCCTGGTCTACAAGAGCTAATTCCAGGACAGATTCTAAAGCTGCAGAGAAACCCTGTCTCGAAAAACCAAAAGAGGCCAGGTATGACAGTGCATACCTATAACCCAAACACTTGTGAGGCAGAAAGATCAAGAGTTGAATGTCATCCTCACATAGACAGCAGCTCAAAGACAAAATGGCTAAATGAAACCATCTCAAAGAATAATTTATATTAAAAAATAATTAAAAGCTTTCATGGAAATAGAAGCAAATCCCATGAGCTGGATGATCAATCAGCTGACATCACATAGCACACACCAGTCAGAACTCAAACTTCAACTGAACATTTCATCAAATCCTTACTATCTCATATCCCCCAAAGTTAACATTTTTTTCACAGAGCCCACACTAAACCCCCACAAAGTACCAATGAAACGGTAGTCCTCAAAAAAATAGAGTAGTTGTGCCCAGGTTTGATTTATCAGTTTAAGCTTATTATCACAGTATTAATTACTAATATTATTTCTTTGCACTCTTAGAAGCATTCGACTTTGTAAGAATACATGATTATCCTGTAGATGACGCATCAACACTTTAAGTATTCTGTCTTTGCTGGTGCTGGAGAGTACTGAAGTCTCGTTAACTATAAGCAGTCTCCATAGCACCTCAGCTCCCAAGGATTATTTTAGTATTTAAAACTTGCTTCATCACAGAGGTTGGAGAGATGACTCCGTGGCTAAGAGTACTTATTGCTCTTGCAGAGGACCCAGGTTTAGCTCCTAACATAGATATGGTTCCAGCACAACTATCTGTTACTCCAGGGAACCCAATGCCCTCATTAGACTTTCATAGATACCATGCACAAACAAGGAGGCAAAACACAAAATGTTTTAAATCTTTAA